CAAATGAACAAGGAGCGGGTGAAAGAGTAAGAACGGATGTACAAGGAACGAGTGAAAGAGAAAGAGCGGGTGAACGATATGAGATTGAACAAAGAGAGCGAGTAAATCTACAAAGAGAGCGGGCAAATGAAGAGAGAAAAAGCAAATGAAATAAGAGAAAGGAAGATTGAAAAAAAAACAGAGGATGAATGAGCAGAGAGAGCGTGCGATTGAGGAAATAGAGAGGATGAATGAGCAGGGAAAGTGTGCGATTGAGGAAAGAGAGAGGATGAATGGTCAGAAAGAGCGTGCGATTGAGGAGAGAGGATGAATGGTCAGAAAGAGCGTGGATGATTGAGCAGAAAGAGCGTGCGATTGAGGAAAGAGGATGAATGATCAGAATGAGCGTGAAATTGAGGAAAGAGAGAGGATGATTGAGCAGAAAGAGCTTACGATTGAGGAAAGAGAAAAAAAAATGAGCAGAGAGAGTCGGAGAATGGACCGGTCCATTCTCCGACTATTGCGTTTGGCATAGAAAAAATGCAGATATATAAGAGTAAAATAAATAATAATTGCTTAAACGCAAAGGATGCTAATGCTCTGCCAACGGCATGGAAATACTTGTTAGAAAAAGAAATGGGAATTAAAAACCCGTAAACTTATGGAGGATATATTTTACTAGTTTAATGTATATTTTTATTTTTGTTATATTAATTTTATTTTTTAATTTTATATATATTTATTATTTAATGTGTTAAAATTTTTTAGTTAAGTATTTAATAGTTTACAATTTATTGTAAAGATGTTTAAAAATATGTTAAAAGTTTAAATTTAAAATTTATTCGAAAGTTTTGTGTTCGAATGTAGAACGGTAATGTCTTGAGGATGGCCTATTAGAAGTAGGCTGAAAACGTTTGAACAGTAAATAAATAATAAGCTCAGCAAATTGTTTGGTGTTTGAGTATATTCATATGTAAACTGCTGAGGAAGTGAGAGTAGAACAGAGAGCGAATGAAGAAAGACATGGAGAGGAACAAGAAAGAACGAGAAACTTAGAATCTTACTTACATATTGAAAACATAAACAGTGTGTATCTTTAAATTTATGAAAGTGTTTATATAGTAGACCTATAGATTAAACATTACTTTTTAAAATTGTATAAAAGTTAAATAGAGAAAAAATTTGTAACGGTTTATTGAAAATTTGACTGATTATACAAGTTGTGAAATAATAATTTAATATAGTAGTTTTCAATTCAAATATTTAAAATATGGTAGCTGATAAACCTTTATTATATAAACTAAATTAATCAAATTTGTATAAGAGAATATATTAGTCCTTACACAGAACTGTACAAACGTAAATTGGTTCGAAATGTTTAGGAAATCAGAAATTCCAAAGAAAAAATAAGAAAATAAAATAGGAACATATAACAGATATATGTATATATTGATATATAATCTGTTTGTTCGGGATTCTGTTATAAACAGTCATTTACATAAACATTTATCTCGAATACACTGCTTGTATATTATTGTGAGCCTTTTCTTTGCCTTTTGAAAAACTTTAATTGAGGTAAGAAAGATTTGGATAACAGGAACGTTTTAAGGAATACAAATTACATAAAAAAATATTGTGATTAATATAAAAAACAAATTTCGTCTTTTCGCACGTTCTTCTTCAACGGTCGTCTCCTCTCGCGAAGTCGCGTCTCGTCCCGCTCTCGTCGTCTCGCCGGCAGATGGCGTTTCGCTCTCCACAGCTCGGCCATCCTGCAGATCACTCCGTCCTCGGAGAGATTACTGGAAAACTAAAAAAACATAAGAACAAAAAGAAAAAATACGATTAGAAATGTTCCGGAAAAGTTCTTGATGTCAGTCAAGATCAATGGGCCATGGCTTCATGTGGTCAGCTGCAGTAACAGTCACATTGGGCCCTTCATGATGGCCAATTTTCTCAGCCGCGTATCTGTCCCTAGGCATCGTCGAGGTAACCTTGTAAGGTCCGAAAAACTTAGGTCTTAGTTTGAGTCCTGTCCCATACTGGGTTCTCTAAATGGCAACAAGGTCGTTGACCTGATATTTGGGAGCTGGCTTTCTTTTCTTATTGTATGATTTACGATTTTCCTCCTGTAGTTTCAAGATGTTTTATTTGGCATCTTCTCGAATCTTGTCTCTATCTTGCACCGTAGTTTAAAAATTCTTCTTCCAAAATCTCTTTTATTCTCAGGTCTTCTTTATTTTTCATTTTGTACCGACAAAAATTTCAAAAGGTGTATGTATATCTTGTACTACGCGTTGGCGTACTGTTGATGATTCTTTGGACGTCCGAAACATATTTGTACCACTTTGTAGCGTCTTCTTGCGCGAGTTTCGCCAAAACGGGGATCAAGATGCTATGCATACGTTCTATCTGTCCATTTCCCCTAGGAATACCTGTGGCAATCGTAATGTGCTCATTCATCTCGTTGGTGCAATAATCGTTAAATTCTTTGGAAGTAAAAGCGGTTCCACGATCCGTGACAATACGAAACGGGTTTCCAAATACTGCTTGTTGGATCCTCAGCTTATCCAAAGCATCTCGTGTAGTTGTTGACTTAACGGGGTAAAATCACACAAACTTAGTAAAACTATCTACTACCGTGAATACATGCTGGTAGTTTTTGTTCGTTGAGGGTAGTGGTCCGAGAAAATCTACATGGTATGTGCTCAAAGGACTGTCCCCTTTTGGTATGGGATTTAATAGACCTTCACCTTTCCCCCTTTTCCTATTATATAGTATGCAGTCGACGCAATTCAGTATGACATTTTCTGTGTTTTCTAGCGTTTGGGATATAAAAATTGCATTTTAGAAATTACATCCGTCTTCGCCGTTGCAAAATGACCTTTTCGATGTACGTGTTTGATTATGTCAGTTTGCATCGATTTGGGTACAATGTACAGTTCTAGTCCGTTTTCGTATTTATATAAAACGTTATTTTTCAGTACGTAATCATTTGTCTCTCCTTTTCTCGCTGAATCCTTAAAAGCTTTTATATCCTCGTCAGTATCCTGTGCAGAAACAATTCTTGCTGTTATTTCGTCGGAAGAACACGTAATTAGTAAAACTGCATTGCACCTTAGTGCATCCACATGCTTCATCTGGCTGCCTTTCCTATGGACAACTTCATAGTCAAATTCGTCAAGTAATAAAGACCATCTTGCTAATTTTGGAGTAAGCTCCTTCTTTCCGAGTGTTCGTTGGAACGCAGCACAGTCAGTAATTATTTTAAATTTGGAACCCAACAAATAGTTTCGAAATTTTTTCAAGCCCTCAATTACCGCGAGTACTTCTAACTCGTAACTGGTATATTTTTCTTGCTGAGGTGATGTTTTCCTACTCATATAATTGATCGGGTAATACTTTCCGTTGTCAGCTTGTTGTAGCAAAACTGCTCCGAACCCGAGGCAACTTGAATCCGTATGTAATTCTAATGGAGTGCCACGCTTGAAAATATGGAGAACTGGACTTTGTGATAGTATGTCCTTCAATTTTTGAAATGCTTCTAGTTGTTCTGGACCGAATTTGAATTTTACGCCATATCTAAGCAAATCGCTTAAGGGTTTCGCTATCTTCGAATAGTGGGGAATGAATTTCCTAAAATAACCCGTGAGTCCTAGAAAGCTTTGAACATGTTTTACGGTTTTGGGTTGTGGAAACTTTTGAACGGCTGCTGTTTTAGTCGGAGAAGGTCTAATTGTTCCGTCTTTGATGACATAGCCGAGAAATTCTACTTCGTTCTTTAAGAATTGACATTTTTCGAAATTAAGTTCCAACCCATATTCTGAAGCTACTTTTAGTACACGCTTCAATTTTTCTAAACCTTCCTGTGCATTTGATGACGGTATTAGGATATCATCCATATAAATTACTACAGTTTTATCTTGTAACATTGGTCTAAACACATGGTAAATATAACGTTGGAATACACTTGGACTATTACACAAGCCAAAAGGAACCTTTAGAAATTCATACTGGCCCTCGTGTGTAACGAAAGAGGTATACTTTCTACATTTCTCATCAATGTCAACATGGAAAAATCCATTTTTTAAATCGAGCGACGTGAACACTTTTGATTGTTCCAAACGATCTATCACATCCTCAATCAAAGGCAAGGGGAAGTGATCTCTGACCGTTTTCCGATTCAACTTTCTAAAGTCGACGCACAGTCTAATTTTGCCATTTTTCTTTTTGCATAAAACTATTGGCGCAGATTAATCTGAACAGCTAGGTTTGATTATGCCACCGTCCAACCATTCTTGGATTTGGTCTTCTACTATTTTTTGTTCTTCAAATGACATTCTACGTGGGCGATGACTAATGGGAATTTCGTCAGTTAAAATAATTTGCATCTCAATCCGGTATCCTTAACCTTATTTGGCTCATAGGTTGTAATTAATTCCATCAAATTCTGTCGTTGCTTTCTATCCAGAATGTGATTTAAATCTGACAACAATCTGTCGCATCTGCCAATTGACCTAAAAAGCATGTTTTTCGTTCTCATCTTCTGAGGGATCAGTTAAATCATACTCCCTGTCGTCGGTGAACGAAACATGGTTAAAACGGTTTAATCTGCCCATATCTGGCACTTGATTGCATTTTTTTTTGCTTTCATTGCAAGGCTTACTCGGAAATGTATCAGATTTGGAAGTAAACTTTTCTTTTTTATTTCTGCCGAAATTGTTTGTGTCACTAACCACAAGTAGTGGGCGCTCACCAAGTGATTTAGTGTCTTGAAAACCGTTTCCCTCTCCCCACTCAGTGGAATGCGAAAGGAACGTCTGCTCTTTTGTAGAGGCGTCATCTGATCTAACGAGTGTTGATTCAGCCACAGACTTTCCATCGGGAACAAAAATTCGAGTATAATTAACACGAATAGTATTTTGACTTCGTTTCCCCATGATTTTGAATCCGTAGTTTGTTATAGAGAAGTTCAGTTTATTCAGAACATCTATTCCTATTATTATAGAATTATACAGATCACCTTCTACCACGTAAATATTTGCAGTAAGAGAGTATTCGTCAATCTTTATTTCACTTTCGAAGAAACCTAACGGAGAAATACTATTCCCATCTGATCCAATTAAAGATGCATCATCCAAGTTTAATTTCGGAGTCCCTACTTTATCATAAAAATGCCTTGGTATCATCGTTATTTCCGACCCGGTGTCGATGAGTCCTTTTGTTTTTGCACCTAGGATTTCAACATCCGTTTCAATTTTGTTGTTACATCTAGAGAAATGACTTAGATCCATTTTGTTTACTTCTTTTTGAGGACAAGCGTTAGCTTTATGGCCGAATTTTTTGCACTTAAAACATCTAATATCTTCGGATTTATACGAGCAATTACTCGAAATGCGACCAATTTCATTACAATTAAAACATTTGAGAGTTTTACCGTCATGCTTATTTTGATAAGCTGGGGTTTTCGATGCTCTGTAGGTAGATTCAGTTTAGACTGAAACAAACGAGAATATGTAGACCGGATCTTCTCATATACACTCAACTTTTCACGAAATTCTGTCAAATTATCTGTTCCGTATAACATCGCTTTGTTACTGGGTATGTCACGTATACCAGAAATAACATATTCGATCAACCCGTTAGGCTCAATTTTTCCATGACTAGCGAGTTCTTGCATTTTAAAGAAATATTCTTGCACGGATTCATTGGGGAGCATTTGGCGTTTAGCCAACATACCGTGCAATCGCGCTGAGTTATATTTACTGCCAAATTCCGCTTTTAATTCCGATTTCAATTTATCCCAGGAATTAATACCGCTTTGACTTTCAACGAATAATTTCGCTAACCCTGTTAAGGATTGTTTTGCAAATATAAATTTATGTAAATCAGACCAAGTCATCATTTTAGCAAAGTCTTCGAATGCAACCAGCCATTTATCGATAGAACAATATTCACTACCATCGAAAGGTTTGATTACGTTTTTCACGTCATGAAAGTTAATGGAAAGTTTAGTCATATCCGAAACACGCAGACAATTATTGCTAGGCGGATCATCGGCAACANTTTGATTACGTTTTTCACGTCATGAAAGTTAATGGAAAGTTTAGTCATATCCAAAACACGCAGACAATTATTGCTAGGTGGATCATCGGCAAAACTTTGAACTTCTAATACATCTTCGTCTTCGGTATCGACATCTGCCAAGATCAGATTTGATTGTAATGATTTTAAATCAGAAAGAGAAAGAACAAGGGTTAAAGTCCAGTTATGTGGACTGTCATGGCGGCACTTCCTGTTTTCCGACTGCCAGCCTCGACACCGGAACAGTTTGGAGACGAGAGATGTCACGTGACAACGCGAGCGCCTGCGCGTGTTCTGCTAGTTCGAATTTTCAACGGGTTGTTTTTTTTTGCGTTGCGTTCGCCTTTTTCGCAGAGATGGAGGATTTCGGCATTTTGACGTCGAGGGATTTATCTGTATGCGTTTATGTACAGAAAGCATCTGAAATGGGAAAGTCTGAAACCGGGCGAACGTTTCGGAATTTTCTGCGAACATTTATGGAAAATCTATCTGGGAGCAGGGACACGAGCCCGAATAGAAGGAGCCAGAAAACGTTCCGGCAGCCCCGGAAGCGACGCCAAACAAGCGAGCAAGCGGCGCGAGCAAGAGGAGGGAGAAGCGTGCCAGAGTCGCCGAATGACAGCGGACGAAGGTGAGTTAAAAAAAAATGGGTTAAAGTACAGATACGTATACTGTCGTGGAGGCTCATCTCTGATTCCAGCAAACAAAAGAAAGGAAACAGTGGGGACGCACGTTCTAACCTAACCTATTCTAATAAATTAATATAATTATTACCAATCAAATTATTAGAATAGGTTAGGTTAAGTTAGGTTAGAACGTGCGTCCCCACTATTTGCTGGAATCAGAGATGAGCCGCCATGATGGTATACGTATCTGGACTTTAACCAAAAAATGTTATTTTGTTTAAAGTCCATACACGCGGACTGTCATGGCGGCTCCAGCAAACAAAAAGAAACAGTGGGGACGCACGCTCTAACCTAACCTATTCTAATAATTTAATCGGTAATAATTGTGGTAATTTATTAGAATAGGTTAGGTTAGGTTAGAATGTGGGTAAGATTTACCCTCCGAATGAGGGGGTAGTCACCCCCCAAAGGGTAGCCCTCCCCCGTACGAACAATAAATGTCTAATGAACCGCGACCCTTCGCCAGATATAAGCCCCTGAAGATTCGCCTACGTCATATCCGGTCACGTGACATCGTGGTCAAAAGGCAGTCTACCGCGCGCAAAAAATTTTAATGCGGTCTCGCGAACACCTTCCTTAGGTCTCTCTCTCCTCGCGCTTCCCCGCTCCGCCTTCACCATTGCTGTCTGTCCCTTCCGTGCCAGCCCGCAGTCCACATTTTACCCGCCTGAAGTCATCCGTAGTCACCATCTATTGCCTGTAAATATAACAATACATTATTATTTATTAGTCGTACCTTGGCCAGGCTGCGAACCCGGGTCTATGTTGACTGTAGTCCAAGCCTTTGTCCACTAGTCCAACACCTCCGCTTACCAGAAACATTTCGGAACTCATATTTGAGACAAACGAGCCCAAGGACAGCACTGCGCATGACAGCCAAATCACGTGGTCGTTCCTCAGCCATAGAGATGCAGCGCTCGGCGGGCCAATGGGGCGCGTGGTCACGTGACACTCGGACCCGTCTCCCGAGGCTCCGCGGGCCAATGGGGTGGCGACCGCGGGTCACGTGACACTCGTAACGGTTTTCAGCTGTTATATAAGCAATACTCTCCTTCATATCCTCGCACTCAGTATTTGTTAATTATTGGAAACACTAAAATCAAAACATGCCTTATTCGTGTGATATTTCGGCATCTCCCGTTATGGATCCCGCCACAATATTCAATAATATAACATCTTACAGTTTTCTTCGCTATCTCCCCACCGAAGAGGCTGCACAGACGTTTTGCCATCTTGTGGGGCTCGTGCCACATCCGGACCTAACCGGTTTCTTTCCGCCATGTCCGAAGCGCGGAGGTATTCCTGCGTTTCCTCGATTCCTGCGTTTACATGAGTGCTATCTGCAGCTATCTGGGTTAATGTTACTAATGGTTCGAAAATGGCATCGCTTCGGTTAGGTTCGTTTCATTTCCATTACATTAGCTACATTTTTATCCGTCTGGACCACGAACCGTCGGAAGTACGGCCATTTTGAAACCATGGATAACAGTAACCGCTATCCTGTTTCGATATTTGACCACGCGAGTTAATAGTAGTAGTAACAGTAATATGTTAACTGCCAATATTCTAATTTACTAGTTTTTCGATATTTTTGTCGTAATCTTTAGGCACTATGCGGAAGGAACCGGCTCCATCTGACAGGTTCGGATTCATTTACCGCTGTGAAAAAGTACAGCAGAAAAAGATGAGGAGGCAGACTGGCGGCACCGTCTTCAGGGCCATGTGTACTGGTTCCCTGTCTTGCACCCACAACACCTTTTTTGAAAAGACACAGCTGTCAGCCCAAGAGGTATGACATTTGAAGTTGCTCGCGAAACGTGATCGCAGAATCAGCGGTTTCTTTTTCTCTGGGTCACGTTACGCTATGCATTTCTGTAATTTGATCGTATGGCTTGAGATGATATGTTTTGTTTGTTTTCTATTTTACAGGTGCTGATGCTCGTCTATTCATGGGTCAAGCAAGAGCCGGTCACTGTCGCCGCGGAGGAATGCGGCGTGGCCCCCAAAACAGCGGGAGATTGGTACAATTACTGCCGTGAAGTTGCGGAGGTTTTCGTCTCCCACCAGCAAAACATCCAGCTCGGGGTTGAAGGCATGCACGTCGAGGTGACCATCGACCCACGTTTCTGACTTTGCCGAAATGTCTGTCTCTATATTCGTATGTTTTATTTTCAGATCGACGAGACCTTCACCCGGAGGCGAAAATACAACCGCGGCCGCGTAACTAAAGGCACCCAAATCACCATCTTCGGTGCCTATTGTCGGGAAACAAAAGAGGTGATGTACTGGCATGTAAGTAGTAGCCAAGCATTATTATTTCCTTTTATTTTTTAGTTTTTGTGGAAGTTTTGTTATAGTTTCTCGTATTCTTTCAGGTGGACAACAAGAGCCGACGGGTTCTCTGGAGCCACATGCTCAGATACATCGCCCGCGGTTCCATCATTGTTTCCGACAGCGCGGCCCAATATCGCGGTTGTACGACGATGGGCTTCTCTGAACATAAGACCGTTAATCACAGCCAGCGGGGCCCCGGGAGGTAAGGAAGATAAAACTGCAATGTGTTATGTGAAAGAAATGAACAAGCGTTATTGAAAAGTGACATTTTTCTTTTATTTTCCGAGCAGATTCGTCGACGCCGATGATCCCGAGGCCCACACTCAGAACATCGAGTGCAGAAATCGCTGGCTGAAGAAGTCCATCAAGTCGCTCCGCACGGACAGGAGCCTGCAGAGCTACAACTGTACGTACGTGTACAGGACGCGGGTCCTGTCCCAGTTGCCAACAACATCGGCAAAATTCCGGCAGTTCATCGGGGACATCGTGGCCGTCTACCCGGGCCCCGGTCGTCAGGGTCTCCAACTCCGGACGATCGGTGTGCCCGTGGATCAACATCTGCCGCCGGACGAGCCCTATTTCGATGTTCCCGTGCACGAGGGCGACGAAGAGGAACGGCAGGGGGATGACGACCGCCCAGTGAGTAGTGCAGCTTGTGTATATTGCGCGTGACCAAAGGATACCTATTTGCGGATGTGAAACCTGGATTATGTGATTTTTCAGACAACATCGGGCGCCAACATCTTCGTCATCGACCCCCAGGACCTAGCCGAGGCGGGGACCAGCGGCCTCACCCCGTCCTCACCCACGCAACATCGGGAATAGGCTAGGCGTTGCCAGGTAGCGAAAGGATATGGCGGGAGACGCTGTTGAAGGTGAGTGTACAATCTGGTTTCCAAAACGGTTTTCTATTAGCCTAAGTAGTGACAGTCACCTCTGGAGAGGTAGGTCAGGTGTTTTGGACAAGCCACGAAAGCGGCGCATAGTACTAGCCGACCGCGATCGAAACCCGAGCGTGTCGGTGAATGAGGGCCCTAGGCCCCGAGGTCAAGGATGAGCGCGGGGTCGTACGAAAAGGACCTAACTCCGATAATTAGACTGCAGTAACGTTAGAATAGGTCGATAGGCTTAGTAGAAAGAGCGACGCCACTCGTCGATCCCAATCGCCGGAAATGACGTAGGGAATTCTTTACAGGGCTATATCTCGTAAAGGGTCGCGCGCAGGGGTATGGTTCCTTTGACTTTTTCGTTCGCACGGAGGGAGTCTTCAATTCGGGGGGTCGCCGATCCGCTCATTCGCAGGGTAAATTGTGGCTAACATGCGGTCACGTGACCCGTAGAACAATTTTCGGAGGGCTATATCTCGCGAAGGGTCGCGCGTAGGGTCGCGCGTAGAACAATTCGGAGGGCTATATCTCGCGAAGGGTCGCGCGTAGGGGGGTGGTTCATTAGACATTTATTGTTCGTATGGGGAGGGCTACCCCCTCATTCGGAGGGTAAATCTTACTAGAACGTGCGTCCCCACTGTTTCCTTTTCTTTTCCGGAATCAGAGACAAGCCGCCATGACAGTCTACGTATATGGACGTTAACCCGCGCGTCGGTTTTCCCCGTTTATCGCGGCGGCTCCGCTCGCTCGCGTCGTCACGTGACATCTCTCGTCTCCAAACCGCTCCGGTGTCGAGGCTGGCAGTCGGAAAACAGGAAGTGCCGCCATGACAGTCCACATAACTGGACTTTAACCAAAACAAGCCTTTCGACGATTTCGTCTTTATTACCATCATATTGAACATTTAATAAGTTGCACAAAACAACTAGGTCGTTTAATCGAAAGTTCTCATTAATATATTGCACTTTCTTTTTCAGGTTTTCGTCCTCTTTGGATGGAAAATGAATCCACCAAAGGTTCTTAATCTTTTTCTGTTATTCCTATCTCCAACCTCTTCGAATACAAGTTGATGCAACAATTTTATTGAACTTGTCGAGGCCGACTTTAGTGTTTCGCCGATAATTTCTACGAGCGTCGCCATCTTAAAAGTAGAATTTTAAAACTACTCACGGTTTGCCGAAACGTAAGTCGAAGTCCTTCCGGAATGCCGATGTATTCGGACTTCCCAACGTCGAAATTTTCACAAAAACGGAAATGTCCGTAAATGTCCAGAGTACTGTACTCACAAAACCAAAGCGCAGTTCGTCAAATCTCCTCGAGTTAAGCCTAATTCACATCCGAGCCTAATTCACATCCGAGCCTATTCCTATCCCAGACGAGCCCCCACTTCTGTGAGACTTTTCTTTGCCTTTTGAAAAACTTTAATTGAGGTAAGAAAGATTTGGATAACAGGAACGTTTTAAGGAATACAAATTACATAAAAAATATTGTGATTATTATAAAAAACAAATGTAGGACTTCTTTTTCGTCTTTTCGCGCGTTCTTCTTCAACGGTCGTCTCTTCTCGCGAAGTCGCGTCTCGTCCCGCTCTTGTCGTCTCGCCGGCGGATGGCGTTTTGCTCTCCACATTATTATTAAAATATTTCGAATATTTACATGTTTTTAATGTTTTAATAAATGTTAATTCACAATTTATAATTTTTTCATCTCTCTGTACGGTTTATTAATCAAAAAGAAATCTATGTTTAGAGTATGTTTAGATTAATTTGGAGACTCACTTAGCAACCAAACTCCTACCTCTAGTTAACATAAATTCAATCAAATCACGATCTCCGCTGAAACATGCAGACTGAAAAATACATATAAAAATAAATTTTATACATATGGTATGATATAAAATTAAATTAAAACGGCATTTCTTCAAAAGAAAAATATATATATATAACGTCAAAGTACCAAGAAAAGATTGAATTCATCTTCGCAGGTTGAATAGTTTACATCGTAGTTATTTTCTCTGATCAATTTTATGCATTTTTTTCTTCTTTCTGGAATATAGGATGTCTGAAATTGTCATTAACAGGATCTATAAGATTATTTGGTAAAATGTATACTTAAATTAGTATATTAGAGTGGCNCGGTTTATTAATCAAAAAGAAATCTATGTTTAGAGTATGTTTAGATTAATTTGGAGACTCACACTAAGCAGAACCATCAGCAGTGAATCAGTGTTTAATTTTGAAACTATTTAGAATAATAATTATAATAATATAGGAGAGACTAGTTTAAAAATGTTGTAAGTGATGCTTTATTTTAAAAAAAGTGATGCTTTATTTTTCCCTTTTAATTAACGTGTATTTTAATTATTTATTCAGCAGTTTTGATGTTTATAATCAACTATGTAATGTTTCTTCTAATTTAATTTAATTATTTTATGAAAACGACAAGAATTTGTACCTCTAAACAAAATAATTTCAATAATTAAAGATTTGCATGCGACTTGCTCTCACATACAAAATTAGCAATCGATGAACTTGAGAAATAAACGATCAATTAAACATAACTCTTATAAAGATAAATATAAACTTTCAAATAAAAATAAACCTATTCTTTCAGAAAGTAAACATTTTTATGTGCTTTTATAAACAGCAATAAAGTTTTAAAAAATCCGTTTTTGTTTATTTATATAAAGTTGTCAAACTACCACAAATTAAATTTAATAAAAGAATAATTTAAAGTGCTTATTCTAACGAATGAAGCATTCCATTTATTTTTCAGTATAATTGATTTGAATTTATAAATAATTTAATAGTGTCATTTATATAAAGACACAAATATACTAGACCAAGAGTCTAGTATATTTGTGTGACGGCAAGCGCGCCCAAAGTGGCACATCTCATTGGGGCAAAGAGCTACAAAAGTTGATCAAAGATCAAACAATAAAAAAGTCATATCAATATATAGTCATAGTGACAAAAGAAATAGTCAATATTCTTATTTTACGCGTTAACGCGGGTTCAAAAAAATTCGCCACTCCTGCACTAGATAGACTCTTGCTTATCCGGCCATTTTCTCGCAGATATGTGCCANCATCTAGACATTTTTTAATCTAGTTTCGTTTTGCTTTCTAAACTGCGTCTTAACTTTTAATATTTTAAATTTTCTTCTTTTTACATCTAAAATTTGGTTTTTCCGTCAACTTTTGATGAGCGTCGACGTCAAAGTCGGGTGTCGCCGATTCGACACTTATAATTTGCTTTCCTGACAATTTAACATAACAAATTTTTACATATCTTTCCCTTTTTTAGGGGGAGGGGCTATTTCCAGGGCCTCACAATAGCAAGGGTTTTCCCTTGCTATGGATATCTGCCTAGTTCAGTTCAGACACAATCCGCTACAGTTCGCCTTTATTATCAGTTCGAAATGGGGTGGTTCCATAATACCCGCAGTGTTCCACAATACCACCTTTACTTCTATTATTTCGCTTTTCGGAGAGACTTGTCGCTGGCCGTCGGGGTTACACGTTTCGCGTATTAAAAGTGCTATAGTAGGCCACGCTAATTGATGCATCTATTTTGACAAACTATTGATGTCACGCATTGAAGTACCATACTACAATTTAGTTGAAGTCGTTTGACAGAAGAAATCGTATTCTTTACTCTTTCTTCTATAGTTAATGTTAAAACTGATGACGAATTTAAAAATCAACAATAGTATATGCAAAATGTTGACTTAGTTGTAATTTTTTATTATAATGAACGATTTACAGAACTTTATGAAAATGAAACCTAACAGTTCACTGAAAATAACAAAGATCTTTTAATGTTAAAAATCATTTCATTTAGAAAGTAATACACGAATGTATTACCGATGTCGTATCTGTTATTGCAAATAATGTATTTATTTTATGTGTATTAAGAGGAATTCTCTTATCCGAAATTAATTGTTTGGAAAACCAAATTGCATGAAAACAGATTCAAGCCATTCAATGATCATTAAAAAAATACACTCCGTTATCTCGTGGTGGGTCTGGTTTAACCCATAATGAGCGCGGAAAACGGGCTGTTAGTGCTTACAGGACGAAAAGAAAAAAAGATAGTTTTCTCTACTAGCGAACATATTGGACACATCACTTATAAATGATAGAAAGTAGGCGTAACTTGTAGTATATATGGGATATAAAAAATATCTGTGTCCTGCCTATCTACGACTTATAAGTAACTTGGCTCGTTAATGAAAAGTTTGGGTACATCAACCTACAGAATGTACAGTATTTATTAAACTTGTCTTTCTCGATATTTGTTCTTTTTATTTTTCAATTTTTTAAAATTTTCTCCATCAAATATATTTTTTATTAATAAGTTTATTATTTGATGGAATTTATAAAAACAATAATTTTTTATATATACAGTATATAAAAGACAAAACAATTTTGTGCTATTTAATAAGAACGTCATTTTCCATAATCGAACACCAGGTGTCGTAAGTAGAGTTGTTCAGCTTAAATTCAGCTTAGATTTTTGTTCGAGTGAAAATATATTTTATTATTAACTTTTACTACTGCAGGACAGTACAGTTTATCAATCGAGAAAACATATACTATAAACAATATGACATCTCCGTATCAGCAATCTCTGGGAAGTCAACCTCATCTGACAGTTCATCATCCACAACATTACCCTCCTGCACAGACAATGCCTCCTATGAACATGGTTCAACAGAATCAAAACTTAGGACAAGTTGTTGCTCCCGATGGACAGTCGGGAATGGTGGATCCTTCGGGTAATGTCGGTCCTCCAGCTGGTGTGCCACCCAATCAACCTGCACAGCCTCACAAAGACTTTAATACAGCTTTACTCTGTAGAATAGGTCAAGAAACTGTTCAAGAAATTGTTACTAAAACTACAGAATTGTTTCAGACTCTAAAGGTTCTCCAGGTGAGTAATTATTTTCAAACAAGAATTTATTTTACATTATCAACTATTGTAAAATCGAAACATTCCTAAGTATTGATCTAGTAAACAACAAAATACCTTTTCCCCATATACAGTAAGACCCCACTTAATGCTGATTTGATATAATGCTGTCTGCTCAAAGCCTAAAAAACAGCTTAAAATTTACGCTGATTTAAATTATCGTGGCATTTATTGATTCTTACATAATACGATTATTTACGAACATGGACCAATCAGAAAAAGATGGCAAAAAGGTGTACTTTCTTAAAATATATGTTTGTTTGGTGCAATTTTGAAAAAATATAATGTCATGGATGTCATAGGCAATACCGGTTTTGCTTGGCAAGAATTAACTGATAAATGCACGAATGAACAAATGAACAAAGAAGTTATGGTGAAGGTATCCAAGAATTCTCAACGAGGAGAACCTATTGCTGTATTGTTAGTTTGATCAAACTCAATCTAATGGATACAGCAGGACTAGGAGATGTAGATAAACAGGATATTGAGGAGTTACTGCAGATTTCTGATGAGAGTCTTATCAACAATGACTTTCAAGTCCTGGCAGAACAAGGAATTCATGTCAAACTGGAAAATAAAGATTCTAAAAATGAAGAACCCATAAAATTTCTGTACAGATTTCCTNACGGACCAATCAGAAAAAGATGGCAAAAAGGTGTACTTTCTTAAAATATATGTTTGTTTGGTGCAATTTTGAAAAAATATAATGTCATGGATGTCATAGGCAATAGTTTTGCTTGGCAAGAATTAACTGATAAATGCACGAATGAACGAAGTGTGGAAGAAGTTATGGTGAAGGTATCCAAGAATTCTCAACGAGAAGAGCCTATTGCTGTATTATTAGTTTGATCAAACTCAACCTAATGGATACAGCAGGACTAGGAGATGTAGATAAACAGGATATTGAGGAGTTACTGCAGATTTCTGATGAGAGTCTTATCAACAATGACTTTCAAGTCCTGGCAGAACAAGGAATTCATGTCAAACTGGAAAATAAAGATTCTAAAAATGAAGAACCCATAAAATTTCTGTACAGATTTCCTTAGTAAAAGTTTGGTAATGATAACCAAAATTGTCAATCAAACTGTAGCAAATGATGTAGATTTTGAAAGGAATGTAAAAGCAAAATGTGGCATTTTGGATGCGATCTTTTCAGGGCTGTGGAGTCGCGTAAAAATCTACCGACTCTGACCAGGGGCGGACTTGTTACCGAAAGAGACCCGGAAATTCTGATGTCATCACGTGACCTCAGAATAAAAGTTTCAATAAATAGAGTTCTAATAAAGATAGAATGTAGAAACTTTTTATTNAGGAGATGTAGATAAACAGGATATTGAGGAGTTACTGCAGATTTCTGATGAGAGTCTTATCAACAATGACTTTCAAGTCCTGGCAGAACAAGGAATTCATGTCGAACTGGAAAATAGAGATTCTAAAAATGAAGAACCCATAAAATTTCTGTACAGATTTTCTTAGTAAAAGTTTGGTAATGATAACCAAAATTGTCAATCAAACTGTAGCAAATGATCTAGATTTTGAAAGGAATGTAAAAGCAAAATGTGGCATTTTGGATGCGATCTTTTCAGGGCTGTGGAGTCGCGTAAAAATCTACCGACTCTGACTCCAACTCCGACCAGGGGCAGACTTGTTACTGAAAGAGACCCGGAAATTCTGATGTCATCACGTGACCTCAGATTAAAAATTTCAATAAATAGTGTTCTAATAAAGATAGAATGTAGAAACTTTTTATTTCAAAGCTAAAAGACTCCTCTAAGTAATATATAAATATGTATTCGATAATTTTTACTTTTCCGGCTGTTATATATAACAGAGGATATATAACAAAGTGTAACGCTCAGTCAAAAAAATGACCCCTCCCAAATTTTTACATTTTTGGACTCAGAACACCTTTAAATTTCGAGTTAATTAAGCAAAAGATTCGAGGTTTTTTCTATATGTGGGGATGTTAGACTGTGTGGGGGGGCATGATTTTGTTCACCCTGTTTGAAGCCTAATAATTTCTGTGGTCAAAGTGGTCAGAATCAGAGTCAGATGGTTTAACACAGGAGTTAGTTATTAAGCGTCAAAGTGGTTGAACTAAATCGTGTCCCCATACACATTCTAACGGTTTTACTGTACTATTATAAAATGACAAAAAAAACCTTACTTTGAGGGTAGAGACGAGTTTTATTTTATTTTTTTAAATTTTGAATGCTAATAACGAGTAAAATATTCATTAAGACACATGACACATGACCCCTTTTATGTCATCACCCTGTCGACCTTTAATTAAGAACCAAAATTTAATAGTATTAATGCCCCTTTATATGCAAGCTACATTGCCACATTTTGTTTCTTAAACTTTACCCATTCTGAGATATTGTTTAATATCTTAGAACAGAAAATAAAGAAACTAAACAAATTAGATGCCAACACACACACACAATTTTTCCCCTTTTATTGACTTTTTTGAGGGGTTCAGGAGGTCTCCAAACGTGTAGATTTGCAAAAAAAAAACATGGAGGGTCAAATTTGACACGATTCCAATACTTTTCCATTTTATATACATAACAAGTTGGTAATTAAAAAGGAGTCGGAGTCAGCGGATTTTTTGACGACTCCGACTCTGGCTAAAATGCAAAATAACTTCAAGACTCTGACTCTACAGCCCTGGATCTTTTGCTACCAACATTTGCTTAAGGAAAGAAAAAAGCAACAAATGAAACTTCACGACTTTATTGCAAAAAACAAGAATTTCAGAAAAGTCAGGACCTTCATCACAAAAAATGAACTATTAATATAGAAAAAATGAACTAATTAATATATTATTATACATTTCTGTGTGCATATGTTATTTAACATATATTATTATACAAATTAAAATAAAAATAACTTAAAATTAAAGTAAAATTTTTTTCGGTCATGTGTTCCCCTATCCCTGTTTACTCTATGTTAAAATGACTTTGTTTAATGCTGTTTTGTTTAATGCTCTGTTGTCTAGGAACACATTCCCCAAGCTGGGTCTTAGTGTACTAGTACAAGTCAAAATTTTGTCCAAAAGTAGGGGTTTTGATTTATATAGTGAGTATAAAGTGTAAACTTTTATCAGAGTTGCAAACAAGTAAACAGCACTCGTAACGATTACTGTGAATTAGTTATCGTACATCAGTCTGCCACAAATATTTTAAACTAAAATTCATGTTTAGCTAATTTATTTATCATTGAGATTAAGATGATAAAAATTCAGTATGAATGAACTTTACGGGCAGGTCAAAGTTTCTCAATTTTTGAGTCAGAGTTGCAAGTTTGTGAAATGAAATGCATTATAAGATCATTGTGTGACTTGTTAGTGAGCTTCAACTAGGTCTCACATATACAATGTTTCATAAATGATGGAACAAAAGAACAGCTATTTTTGTTAGCCTCAAAGAAGAGGTTTTTCTGGTGTAGAGTAACTTGCAGTCGTGAGCAGATAAACACCTATCTTTGTTTTTGCATTTTATGTTTTTTTTTTATCTATTTTAACATATATATGTTGCAGCTGGATTGTTAAATTAGCCACTTTACAAAATGTCTAGCCATTTATTACAAAATGATGCTGTTTAATCAAAGCTAACTAATGTTCATCCTCTTTGTAAAATGGCTGAATGTTAACCAAATCCTGTCAAATTGAATGACATTTTACATTTTATAATATGGCTTGCCAAATGATTAGCCACTTTACAATGAGGTGTTAGATAAACGGTCAGATTGTGATATTTACTTCTGTTTCTTACCACTTGAGCACTAAGTAACATTGCCAGATTTGACCACCAAAATGGGTTACTCTTGTTTTAGTTTGGTGTAAAAAAATTATTTGGCACATTGCCTACTTTTTGGGCTACAAAAATTTGACTTGGCTATGTAAATTATTTCATTGTTTGTTTCAGTCTAGAAGAGTAATACCTTTCTCTATTCGTGTCACCTTAAGACATAATTTTATGTTAAAATGGGAAAATGGGCAAAGTGTTCTCAGATATAAAGAAATATCTTAGTCAACTATCAAATTAAATAATTGTGGTTTGATAGGTCATTTTAGTAGCTATTAAGATTATTATACAAGAAAATTAATTTTTATAGTCTGTGTTAGCAAGATCATTTGTTGCATAATTCATTGCATTCTTTGCCACCAATGATGAAAAAGTTGTAAAAGACATAGAAAATATTCAATATGATATAATTTGTTCAGAGTGTCGAAATGAACAGTGGAGCTCATTAGTGTTGGTCCTGCTTTAAACCTGTTTATGTTATTAATGGATTGTCTGAAAGCAATGAAGGTTATGGGTCGAAGATTATCTGTTTTATATGCAAAAGCAAGCATAATGTGAAAGAAAGTAAAAATTTAATCTCTGTGTGCTAAGACATATTTTGTATTAGACAGCACTATGTACTGTTGGTATACTTTACTTTTTTTGGTCATAATGCATTATCTTGTTTGGTCTGCTACGTCTGTGTGTGGCATGTTGTCTCTTCTCATTCATCTTTTCTTCGTGTTACATCTAACTGTATATTTCTGTGTGTTGCTAGATTCATTTATTTGCTTCATTTTCTGACACAATATACAAATTGAAAGAGAAATGCATAAAGAAGTTAAATGAGCTGCAGAGAAGATGATTGATGAGGCCACTAAGAAACTTCCCCTATTAGATATTGGAAAAAATATTTTTATTGATGTACCAAAAATAGATCATGGTCCTTTAGATACCAAAAATATTATGGAAAAAATTGTTGATTTCAGAAGGAGTTTACAAGGTAGGGACTAAATCTGGAATAATTAAAAATTAGTTCTGTTCTTACATTACAACAGTCATCAAATGATTATAATGGTGAAATACTAGAAAGATCAATATTGCTGTGAGAAGTCTTGACTAACCAATCATTAGTTGGTGATGAAGGATTTCAAAAATGCTCAAGAAAACCTGTGAAAAATCAGTGCCTCACTAATAAATGTGCATGTTTTAAAAAGAAAGTTTTTTGCAGATCTAAATGTCAGTTTAGTTTATCTTGCATTAATAAATAATATATCTATTTGATACGTTTAATATTATTTTGTAACTATTGAAGAAATTTAATGGCTTTAAAGTGTTTTCTTATTTTTATGATGTATAATTTAATTTTGCACTGTTTAGTATGTCAAACTACTACTCTTTATTTACATCATTATTTTACAAAAGTGTTATTAATTATAATAAAGTACCTAAACATTAAGAACACAGTAGTACCTTAGGATATGAAATTAATCTGTTCCAAAACTGAGATCGTATCATGAAAATGTCGTAAGGTGAATCATTTTTCCCCATACGATTACATGTAAAACCAAATAATTCATTCCAACACGAAAAACACACTCAAATTAAAGCTAAGTAGTACATTGAAAAAAAATAACTTTAGTAAGGAAAACACTGAAAAATGTGTTTTGTAGTTGTAAATGTATAAATAACCATAATAGAATAATAATTGATAAAAAAAAATGTAAAAAAAATGTAGTTTTATTTGCACTTTACTTTTGAGGATAGACAACAGTGGAGGTGTAAACTGGTGGCCGAAGAGAGGGAGAAGGAAAATGATACTAAAACTTAACTTACATAACAAAATATAACAATAACTTAAAAAAAATTAGTGTTAAGTTATTTTTATCTTTTCTGTTTTATATATTTTTCACTGCTTTTTGCTTTCTTTCGTTCACTTTCACTGGATAGAGGTCACTTGGTAAAATATCTATCCAAAGAGGTTTGGCTTTGCCTTCTTTTTAAAATGTTTCTAAAATGATTTAGGCAAATGCCATTACTCTGAGCAGCAATATGGCCAGTGTGAACCTATTCGGGATGTTTCTTTTCAGTAAAATCAGTCACTTTCTGATAATAAATAAGATTTCCTTTATCAAGAGCAATCTTTCCACGACAAAGCAAACATGCAGACTGAGACCGATGAACAGAAGTGAATAAAAAATGGCGCTGCAGACTAATGTAACGTTATATGGTGAGTTTTTGTTCGTATCGTGGAGCAAAAATATGTTTGAATTTCATGTTGTATCCTGAAAATTTCGTATGCTGTACCATTCGTATCTTGAGGTACTGCTGTACTTAATAGCAATATATGTTTTTAAAGATTTTAAATTACCAATGAACAATTCAGTTGATTAGATAATATAAATAATTATATTTTTTCTTAAAAGTAGGAAGTAATTCAAATACATTTATAATTTATAATTTTCAAGTTTATAAATAAATATATATATAATTTTCATTTATAATTTTCCATTTATAATTTTCAAGTTTATAAATAAATAATTTCGATTATGCAATATATATTTTTTTACTTCTAATATTTTTGTCCTTAACCTTATTGAATAATTCACATTTCAGTGAAGTGGCTGAAATTTCTGCTGCTTTACAATACAGCTAAATGTAGCCAGCTGCATTGTAGAACACAATGTAACAACAAACCAGCTGAACATTACTTAGCTTTATTACAAAATGGCACCATTTAATCAAATGCTGGACTCTTTATAAAGCTGCTAAATTAACAATCCAGCTGCAAATTATACATAAATATACATTTTTTTTTATTTTATTGTAACTTAGTAGTTGAAAAGAAAGATGGATATAATTGAAAGACAAGATATTGTCAATAGAATCAAGTGGTGAGAAAACAGTGGAGGATATACATCAGTATTTCCCAACATGGGGCAATTCGATTGTTAACAGGGGCAATTCGAAAATGGACTCATCCAGAGTTTAAGTTAACCATATAGCCATTGTATATGTTGGGGGGAATAAGAATTTTAGAAAGGCTTAGGTGGGGCATAGCACAAAAAAGGTTGGGAAACACTGATGTATATTGTCATTGTATGAAGATTTTCAAAATCCTCTTGTAGCATAAGTTTTATGTGACCATGAACTGAAACAAACTTTTATTTATATACTAAATGAAATTGGAAGTGACATAGGAATGGGAAAAGAGCAATTCTATTATATTTTCAACTTCTGTTTACACTTTGATTTTATGAACAATATAACTTCTAAAAAATAAAAGAATTCCTTGATGTTTGGCAAACAACAAATGTACTTGATATTATTCTGTTCTTGCAAAATACTATCTAAAGCTACTATCAAAATTTTCTACTATTAGTTACACCATGTTGCAAGTAAAGTTATTTCACAAAAAGTTCCTTAAATATAATAATTCCTAATTATATTATACATATTATATTTACATTAAATTGATGGTTTATTTTTACATTAAAATATCTGTATTGCTTATTGAACAGTTGCACAAAGTGATACAATTTACATAGTTGATCATCAACTACATAACTTTGTATCAGGAGACTTATCTGAGGGAATAGAGCAACTCTTGTGACCTGCTCAAGAAGAGACTCATTGTTGAAACACTGTACTACCTATACCTCAAACTATTTCCATTGTACATCATTGATGCAAATTACAATAAGTAAAGATGCTGTGTCAAGTAAATAAATTCAATATATGACAGTATTTTGTTATCATATATTGAATTTATTGGTATTGTTGTAGTACTATGTTATGTAAACTATTAATATTAGAGGTGCTTATTTTGGCTTAATTATGTTTACCAGTAGATCTGATGTATAATAGTTTTTACCAAGGTAATTTATTGAAGGTTTTTAGCAGTTCTTGTGTCCTGTGTAAATCCTTTTGCCTAAATCCCATTTTGTATATTATATGCTGAAGAATATTATGGTTACTCCACACTGATATCTCTAACTTATCATGGTGGTGGGGTTTATGTGTTTCGATGACCCGAGGGCTTAACTGGTAATAGCCATGGCTACTGGTAGGGTCACCCATGCAGGAAAGGTTGCAGGTGAGGTCAGAGTAAGGAGTATCCTGGTCCTCCCAGGTTGGGGGTTGGGTAAAGGATTAACAACCCTCCTGCAAAAAGAGCTTTTGTTAAAAATGGAATAAAGTGGAAAGAGGCATCTGTGCCTCGTGTTAAAAGATGTGAACGTGAGGTGACATTCCAGTGTATGGATTGTTTAGGACTGTCTGAGTTGGAAGAGCAACAGTTGTTGAATGTGATGCATGAAGGGAAGGTATTGTTTTCATCTGAAACAAAACATAAGAGCAAGTGCTTGGATGAGTGGGAGGGATTTTTATATGTATCTTCTGGTGTACTTGCAAGAGAATTTGGTAATCATGGAGTGAACTCTATGTTAGTCCCTGTCTGAAAGATTGTGTTAACCTTCTAGAGTTAGTTAATGACAGGATTGTCTGGTTGAGAATGAAAGTAGGGTGTACAAGGTTACTGTGTGTTGGTGTGTATGCTCCAGTTGAGTCCAGGGTGTTTGGAGAAAAGGATGAATTCTGGAGTGTTCTGTTGGATGTCTTGAATGAATGCAAGACAAATGAAAGGATTATTGTTAGGTGATATGAATGCGCATATAGGTAATCCATTATCTCTGGCACAATTTTAATGCAATGGACCATAAAGAAGCAGAAGTAAGTTGGAAACAACTTATTATACTTAGAAGCTGGTATGACATTATGAACATAAGGCTTCTGGAGCAATATGTCATTTACAAATGAAAAAAGCATCGTAACATCATTAGTGCTCAGGACTTGATAGAACTGGACACCAGATGGAAAGGAGTATTGCAAACAAAATTGGGAGGATATAATTAAATGTTCACAAGATAGAAAAATGAAGGAGGAAGTGTGATATAAAAAAGAATGAAAAGTTAATACTTTTAGCAGCAGCAAAATGAGGTTAATACAGTAGACCCCCCTATAACATGGGTTCATATAATACAGATTCATATAACACGGCGAAAAAATTGCAATTGTGTTCGTATAAACACGCTAAAAGAGACTCGCATAATACGGTAAAACATCATCGCTGACTCATGTCGCGACAGGATTGGTCGAATCTAGACCAATAGCAGATATTGCACAAACTGTTGAGTTTAAACGAGCACTGGACCTACTAAAAAACATTTATTATTTAACGTCCATAAAAATTATATTTATATTAATGATGTTTCCAAAGTTCAGCAAATTTTTTGTGCCATTTGATGCCATCAGCAAATCATTTGATGACGTAATTGGGAAGCACACATTTGAATTTTAAATTTGTTTTCTCACCAGAAATTCAAAGTTACCTGAAGAATAATCTTTTCAGTTCGAAAATGTTAGTAACGAACTATTTATTTGGTTTTTGCGTTTTTTGTTGTCGTGGGAGAACACACCAGTAACAGGTTTGAAGATTTTGTTAAATGCATTAAAGATGATTTCACCCATATCCGTTGAATTGGAAAGGGCATTTTCAGTAGCAGTACTTTTCATTATTAAAATAATAACCAGATTGAGTGATTGGAGTATTGACCATCTTCGGTTTTCAAAATCTTATAAAAATTTACAATAATATTTTGTATTATGTTTTATTTAAAAAAATGAAAATTACCTTCTAAGTTATAAGTTTGATCTAAGTTCATTTTTTCTTTAAATTTTCAATTCAATTCAAAGGTATTTTTTTTTGTAAGCAGTTTTCAACAAACTTTAATAACTTTTTTCTATTTGTGAAAATTTCTATGTAATTCAAAGGTAATTTTAATATATATTTTACACAGCATTATTAATATTATGATTTTGGAGGTTGCAGAATGTATTAACTTACTTTTAAAAATGAAAAATAATTATATCATTTGATTTCAAGATATCTTTTATATTTTAAAAATAATTAATTATATCCTGGATCCTGGGAAACATTTCATTTTTTTCCATAATCCCAGGACAAGCAAAAGACCAGGAAATGAGAAACCCTAGTTATTACTGTATACAATATATATAAATATTTAAGATTAGAGTTTATTATATTATTTTTTAAAATAACTTATTTTTTTTCAGCCTCCTAATGGCACAGCACAGAGTTTAAGTTCTCTGGATGATAAAAAGAATAAACTTCAGGAAAGTTTAAAAAGCATTGGAATGCTTTTTAAAAGACTAAGACGAATTCATGAAAAGTGTAATGAAAATTGTGCAACAGGAATGGAATATACTCATATAGAAGTTAGTTGCTTTCATTGATTGCTGTTTTTTAATTTTTGTTTGATTTAAATGTTTTTTTCTGTTTTATGTTAATTTTTAATTATTATTATTGTTATTAAAGCGATATGTTGTAATAAAAATACTAAAGTTTTCTTCACAGAGTCTTATTCCTATGAAAGATGAAATAGACAATAGACAAGAAGATAGAAAAATCTCAGATACTGTAAAATATCTATCAGAAGAACACAAAGAACTTGCTGAGGTAACAATTTAAATTAACACTGGTTTTCTATATACAGGCTATGTTAGGAGTTATTTTAGGATGATGTAACTTATAGGAAAATGAAATTTAGAAATACAGCATGCTCATAAATTAAATCAATAATTCTTAACCTAAAATTGACTACTGAAATAATTTTTAGTTACTTTTTGAGGATCTAGAAATCACCAAAAAGCATTAAAATTTGAAGAAAACTATAAAGTTTTGTTCTTCAAAAAATTTATATTTTTTTTATTAAACTATGAAACATAGGAAACATTTAAATTACTGTATTTTCAAATGTATTTTCCATGATTATGTGTGTTTAAAAGATAACTTGAAAAAGGATGTGAGTTATGTGATGGGGTGGGTTAAATGCTGATTTAAATTGCAATATGAACCATGTAACTCTGTACCCTGTAAACCAGGGATAGTCAACCTTTTTATATTTACCGCCCATTTTTGTATCTTTGTTGGTAGTAAAATTTTCTAACTGCCCACCAGTTCCACAGTAAGTTAACTTAACACAACTGCAAAGTACTTGTAATTTTTCAGTGGCTGTTTAGTAAAAATATGAAATTAAATTTATCTTTTTATTTATATTTTGCATATGTTTATAATACACAGAAATTTTTTGCCACTGCATCAAATGTTTTTTTTATGTCAAACTGAAAAAAGTAGCTAAATCTGACAACGCTGACTCACCACAAAACGAGCTCAACTCGAATGATGGCCACTGTTACAGTACAACCTGCTCTGTCAGTGAGTCACAGATGCGCAGTGATAATGGAAAGTAGCTTCAGCATCAGACCACCATGAAAGCTCAAATCGTCCACTAGTGGGCAGTAGGGACCAGGTTGACTACCACTGTTGTAAACCCTGTGGGTATAGATGAATGGTTGTTCCATAGCTAGAAGGTATACAGTGATGTATGTTAGGCAAATTTTTATTTTGTTCTATCAATTTTCTGCAGATAATACACATGAAAATACAGTATGATATTCTAGTAAAGACTGTTTTTATGTATTGCTTCATATATAAAAAATTTGATAAAACTTTTAAACTTAGTGAATGAATCCTGTTTTGAAATGTTTGGAAATTACTGAGGATTTTGGAAATTTGGATTTGGTTGGATGGGGGATTTGATAGTCGAATGATATTTGGTGGGATAGATTTGTAGTAATATCTGTAATTTTTACAGCAAATATAATATTGGTACAATTAATAATTAACTGTGTTTTGTAGCTCATTCTGACAGTTCACACTAAAAACAAATTGAACACAATATTGCATTTTCTTAGAATGGTAACTTGTCTCATTTTCAATCTCACATATTTATTTCATCATTTGAAAAAACAACACAATCAAAGTCCTGATGGTGCTATTTTTACAAGTTACTACCATTTTTTCAAGTGTCTTGTAAAAATAATTTAATAACAAGAAGAAAAATGTTTGATAATAAAATGTGCAATGTATTTGAATAAGTAATGAATTTAAGTCTGGATTTATGATTTATAGACATTATAAATTGTTTAACCTTTAAATATATAGTGTCATATATATATTTTGTATAACTTTACTGAATAAGATTATTAAATTAACTAATACAAAGAGCTAATTTAATTTAATGAATTTGGTATTAAATTAATTTGATACTAGGTTTAAATTTTTATTATCTGATAAAAAGTTAAAACTTGATTTATTAAAAAGGCATTGTGCAGTTCAATTGATTCTGTAGAAAATGTCATTTCTGTTTGAAAAAATTTTTCTACAAGATAAATTCTATACAAAGGGATCTAAATGATATAGATATTTATCTGAATGCATTTTTCCAACAAATGAGAATGTAGTATAGTATAAATGAATTTTTTTCTGAAAAATAAAATTTTGGGTTTTTATTCAAATGAAAGTAAGATTTTTAGCACAAATAATCAACTGGAATTTTGTAATTTAATTTTATTTAAATATACTTTTTGATTTTACATTACTTTAAATAATAATAATTATTTTTTAAAATTGTCTCTAGAATTATTTTTTGTTAATATTTAAAGTCTTAAATAAAATATGTTTATTTAAGACTTTAAATATTAATTTTATTTTATGAAAATTATAATTAGAAGTAAAGAATTATGAACCCAGTATAATATAATAAATCAACACCATTAAACTGAATTTGTTGACTTATTAGACATGTATATAAATGCTAACTATGAGGTTTGAATTTATTACACTTTAGAATTTTTTAAACTGATAATGATGTAATTTCTCTAAAATCATTTTATCTTGAATAAAACTTGATTTTTATCAAACCAGATTGTTTTCATGAAGATCATTCTAGTTACAGAAGAATCTTGTTTTAATGGATCTCTTGGGCTGCCGAAAATGATTTATTGCTTCAAGAAACCATTATATCACGAACAACAGATTTCCCTCACACCCGGGAAAATATCCATTATTTGAAAAAATTTCTGTTTTTTTTAACCTCCTATATTTAAGAAATACAAGTACTTGAAATTATTCAGTCTCTTGAGATCTCTATTCTTTATCCTACAGAAACAGCTATGTTTGTAATGTACTGTACATACATGTAAATTATGCTGTATATGATTGTATATTATGCCATACGTGTGTATGACAAAGCTGATGAAAACTAAATACTGTAAACATAAAAACAGGCAAATTATATATGCTCATTAGCACTTTGCTTGGCTTCATGATTTGTTAAAGAAACTCGGCCATCTAGGTTTCTTTTAATGCTACTTTTCTGCCTATGCTGAAACTTGTCATATTTTGTCTTGTCACTGTATTTTACTTGTTCAACAATTCTGATGCAGACGATCAATGATCCGACACTTCCCTTCAATCTTTCCCTATTTTCTTTCCTTCCCTACTTACTATCACTTCCTCTTCTGATTTCAATTTCAACACTTCTAATTTCTTAGAGGTAAAGTCTGTGCATATACAGACAATCTCTCTGCTCTTTTAATGTAATGTAACTTGTCAGGAAGGTCTTCATGACCTGGAAAACTTGATGGCCTCACAAAATTTTGGCACAACACTTGGCCCAGCAACAGACTTTCACTAGGTGACTCCTCAATTGTATCAACCAACTGACTCTCTTCATACAATTCTTCAATTGTACATAACCCAAATGTAACAAGTGCATCATAAAACTACAAATTTCCAGAAACACCCAAATATTAACTAAACATTGAAAAACCACAAAGTTTATAATAGATTTAGGATAGAAAAAATCTGTTATTCTGAATAACAGATCTGCTAAAAGGAGGTAAAATTACATTCATTTGGTGGAACCTGGAAAAAAAATCTGTTATTCCAAGAAATCCATTGTTCCACAATCCATTAAAACCAGTTTATGTTGTATTTAGAAAGTGAAATATTTATATTGCTGCTACAGAATCATTACATTATTTTAAAATATTTCAAATTCACTTAATTTATTATTAAAATTCACACATGCAGTTGGTTTGTTTTTATTATTTGTGTGTGCTATATACATATATACAGCAGGGGTCATGCTGCATAGTGCCAAAATTGCACTTTGGCAATATTTTTATTAAAGTGGTGATGAAAATATAATACTGGTGATAAAAACCCTAGTTTGCTTGTTTCCACATTTTGCATGAAATTGATAGCGAGCCTTAATCAACACTTCACATGTAGTCATGTGCTTCAGTGCTCACTATCGCTCATTCCTCAGTGCCCAGTGAGCCCCTACACCCCTCTAAAACTATACAGCATCAAATACTCCAAGAACAGTCAAGTGGCCTACTTGAAGCTGGCATAATAGCATGGGCTAAATAGTTAAACATAGTAGTCTTAGTGGCACGACTTGCAGTTGCATGCAGCTGATTTTGGGGGCTACATCTGATGAAGGATCACATTTAGAGGTATGGTTCCTTTTGACTTTTTTTCTCCTATGGGCATGTTCTACAGCTCTGTTAAGGTCACAACAGTGTTATTCACATCTGCAATTTTACCAGTAACAACACCTGTGTATATATATACACACACAGTTTAACCACTTATCACAGGATACAATATATATATATATTGTATCCTGTGATAAGTGGTTAAACTGCATGAAGTTACTTTAGTTGGAAAAAGTAATAAGAATATATAAAAACAGTTATAAGAGTTGTATTGTGTATTCTTCCATGATCATTTTCATAATATGCATGTAAGTATAAATTCTATTGAGAACTTTTAAGAAAAATTAGCTGCTCTACAACCTTATAATAAAAACATCATTTAATAGTAAATATTATCAAATTTTTTTAGTAATTAATTGTTTAATATTTTTCAACTTTCGTATCATTTTTGTTGCTTTGATTTCTAGCTGTTAATTTTAACTAGCCATCTATGATATTTTCAAATGCTATTTACAGCTCTTTTTTTGAATTTTGGCCAGGTTGTAAAAATGCATAGTAGCAGGAACCAGTCTAGTTAATTTATTTGGATAGGGGAATGGTTGTTTGACAAATATTTGACAAATGTCACTGTGCGTTAACAATAAGAGACTGTTGAACTTTTTAAAACTTCCAGAGTCCAAACTGAGTACTGTGCATCAATCAGGAAAAATATGTGACATACAGTAGAATCTTGTTTTAACGGATTTTGGAACAACAGATTTATTCCCAAGTCCCACCAAAGCAATGTAACTTTACTTTCTTTTATTGGATCCATAACTCAGAATATTGGGTTTTTTCTAGGCCTTCTATTGTAAACATTATGCTTTTTCAATGTTTAGTTAATATTTAGGTATTTCCAGGAATTTGTAGTTTGATGATGCACTTGTTATGTATGAGATATGTATTGTACTATTGAAGAATTGTATGAAGAGAGTCAGCAGGCTGATATGATTGAGGAGGAGCTACCTAGTGAACATTCTGATGCTGTTCCAAGCTTAGTGCCAAAATTTAGCAAGGTCATTGAGTCTTTCCAAGTTGTGAAGATCTTCCTGACAAGTTTCAGCATTAATGAACAGACTGTAGTACATGAAATTGCTAATATCAAGAGATTGTATTCAATGGGCAGAAAAGTAGCATCAAAACAAATCAAGATGGACAAGTTTTTTTAATAAATCTTGAAGTCCAATGAAGTGCTAATGATCATATATAATTTGCTTTTTTTTTTTTTTGGTGCTTACAGTATATACAGTTTTTATTAGCTTTGTCATATATATATATACACACGACATAATATTGTAACATACATGTTTCTATAGAATAAAAAATAGAGATCTGAAGAGATTGAATAATTTCATGTACAGTGGTACCTCAGGATACGAACGCCCCAGCATATGAAATTTTCAGGATACGACATGAAATTCGAACATATTTTTGCTCCACGATACGAACAAAAACTCACCACACGACGTTACATTAGTTCGCAGCGCCATTTTTTATTCACTTCTGTTCGTTGGTCTCAGTCTGCGTGTTTGCTTCGTCGTGGAAGGATCTCGCTCGATAAAGGAAATCTTGAGGTATTATCAGAAAGTGACTGATTTTATTGAAAAGATACACCGCAAAAAGTTTCACAATGGCCGTATTGCTGCTCGGAGTAATGACATTTGCCTAAGTCATTTTAGAAACATTTTAAAAAGTAGGCAAAGCCAAACCTTTTTAAATAGATATTTTACCAAGTGACCTGTATCCAGTGAAAGTGCTGGTGAAAGTGAAGGAAAGACAGCAAAAAGCAGTGAATAAAAATTAAAAAAAAATAAAAAATAAAACAACATCACTAATTTTTAAAAATCTTTTCTAAGTTATTTTTAAGTTATTGTTACATTATGTTATGTAAGTTAAATTTTAGTATCATTTCCCTTATCCCTCTCTTCCGCCACCATTTTACACCTCCACCGTCGTCTATCCTCAAAGGTAAAGTGCAAATAAAACTACATTTTTTTAAATCAATTATTATTCTGTTACCATTATTTATACATTTACAACTACAAAATGCATTTTTTCAGTGTTTTCCTTACTATAGTTTTTTTAATGTATTACTTAGCTTTAATTTGAGTGTTTTTTTCGTGTTGGAACGAATTATTTGGTTTTACATGTAATCGTATGGGGAAAAATGATTCACCTTACGACATTTTCATGATATGATCTCAGTGTCGGAACAGATTAATTTCGTATCCTGAGGTACCACTGTATAGGAATTTCTTGTATATAGGAGATTAAAAACAGATTTTTTTTTTTTTGAGTGACAGATATTTTCCTTGGTGTGCAGGAAATCTGTTGTTCACAATATAACAGATTTTCAGAACAATGGATGACTTTTGGCAGTCCAAGCAATCTGATAAAATGAGATTCTATTATAATTTGTAGAAATTTCTGTGGAGGATCAGAAATATATAGAATGTTTCAAATATTTCTTTATTTATTTAACAATATACAAACATCTCTAAACCTGATATATTTGTAAATATTACATCAGGCTATCAGGCAACCTGATAGCCTGATGTAATATTGCAAACAACTGGAATATTACATCAGGCTACTTTTCTGTGATTATATTTAATTGCTGTAAAGTAGCCCGATGTAATCTGGTAGTTGTTTTGCTTATTTATTTAACAATTATTGCAAACATTATTGAGTATAATATAGTTTAGACCAGCGATTCTTAACCTGTGGTACGCATACCCCTAGGGGTACGCGATAGGTTGTTTAGGGGTACAGAAAAAAGTTAGTTATTATGGCAGAAAAAAATATATATTATATTCCAAACTAATACTATTAAAAAATTATTAGGTAAAATATGTTCCTTGCAACAATCACAACTTTATTCTACATTTTTTCATTTACTTTTTTTCTTTAATTTAAAGTTACAATATGTAAAATTAACAATACAGGTACTCACTAAATTTCTTAAATGAGGGGTACAATCTAGAGATATGACATGTCATGGGGTACACTAATGAAAAAAGGTTGGGAACCACTGGTTTAGACTAATAAAGAATTTTTAAATAAAAACAAACTTATATTTGTTTTTACACAATTCCTCTAAAATAAATTAATTAATCAAAATACAATAAAAATTTTAAATGATTTCAGTGTTATAAAGAGTTAAAATAAAATAAAAATAGCAATAGTATGTAAATGTTCCAAAATCTTTCAAATATATCAGAATATTTATTTATAATATTGTTTGCCATTTATTTATTTTATTTATTTCATTAAATTATATTTAAATAAACTTATAACATTTAATACAAGTAAATTATAATTGATATATGGAATAAATTGAAATTGAAATTTTATATATATTCCAATTTTTTTATGATAATGCAGTCAGAAGATGGGTTTCAAAAAGCCAAAAAATGTTTTGTTACATATTAGTAGATTTTACAAGTTTTTGAACATTTGTTTAAATAATAAAGCCAATTTAAAATACAGTGTGTTTACTTTAACATTTATCCAGGTTCCAAAGAAATCTTTTCAGTTGTGCTCAAGTACTGTATATGCAGATGGTACATTAGTGTCAATGCAATGTTTATAGTAAAATATGTGAGATCGCAAGTTGATGTGAAAAATTTAGAAAATTTTTTTTGTAAGCTTAATCCTCTGTCCTGATAGTTAGAAAAACATTGCTTGAAAATGGAGTGAATGACAGCACTTCCTGTCAACAAATGTTAGAGAATTCTAACAACAGACTGTCAAATGATAACAATTTGATGTTAAGAGAGAGAAAGTTAAACATTGATCGAATAAACAGAGTAATCTTGCAAGTCCACAACCAAATATGGGCATGACGCTGCAACCAAGTGAAACCTCTGAACCAACACCTGTGAAATGAACCTTCATCTCTAACAATAGCTGATCACATGATTTACTTTCCCAGGCTAACAAGGATAAAAGGAGGCAGATGCAAGAGTTTGGTGGTGGCATACTTGGAAGAGGTGGAAATACATAGACATAGGTGAAGGTAGTGAACATCCCGAGTAAAGATAGAGGAGTTCAATCCACCAACTACCTGGTAGACCATATGCAGTGGACCTCGGCAGACCAATGCCACATCAAGGGAACAATGCCATACAGAATCTACTGATTCAACTTCCATCTGTCACCAAGTGATCTCAGGGCAATGACCATATACCAGACATGGGCAAATGTGGCTCCAAGAGCTGCATGAAGCTCTTTTTGAGCTCTTGCTGAAAGTGTTAATTTCTGCTTTTTATTATTATTCAAACAATTTTATTTCCTCAATTTTGTGAAAATATGTTTATTAAAAAAAATTCTATATTTGTTTTATATTATATTTATATTACATAATAAAATTGCGGTACAGAACTGCAGTACAGAATAAAAAGTACAGAACTGTGGCTCCCATGCATTTTGCAAAACCTACAGTACATTTCGGCTCCCACTGAACTCTTGCTTGCCCACTCCTGCCATATACTCCTCCACCCACTGAGAAGATAGCACTCTCCATCTGAGGTATTTCTGCAAGCCAATGTTTGTAAACTCTCTCTGATTCGAGATGCAATTTCTCAGATAAGCCCAGCACACACTTGCAGCATAAGTAGTGGAATAGTCGCAATGCCTTGTAATATTTGATAATATCCTCATGTAATTGCTATATTTAGTCATATAGCTTGTATTTTCTCATGTATCCTAGCTTAGATATATATTAAAATTATGTTTGTTAAACATGTTTGCCTGTCTCTCAGTCGGGAAATGGACACCCTTTTGACTTACTCACATGCACTCCCACTTGACAGTTTAATCATCCCTTCTATTCACATTTATTTAAGATCTGTGAGTTAGAACATGTGTATTTATCCTAACTGGTGTCAGTTCTTGACCAGAAATGGCTATTGTTCAATTTGCATGTTTCCGATAAACTCCAAGCCAGACATTGAGATTGGGTTTCACCAGCCTGTGCCGGTAAGTGGTCATTAGGGATCGCCCCCTTGGCTTATCTCACAAATATATTAATTCATTGAAGAAAGAGACATTTATAAATTATTTAGTGGTTCCATGGCAATATATAAAATTCTAATCATAAGAACATGATGCAAATTAAAAATGTGATCTTGACAAACCATGTGTGATACACAATGTCAATGGCTTTATAAAAAGACCAACATCATGCAGTTGGCTAATTGGTGAAGTACTATTACAGTACAATGCCTTACACTTGTGAATGCAAAATGATTATACTTTCACAATTGCATGAGCAGTGCACATACTCATGCAATACTGGAAATATCTTTTTGTGCCTGGATAAAGGTTAAAGTGAACACTGTATAAGATTTAATGAAAAATAATTTATGCTTATTACACTTCATTGATATAAAATAATACAAAATATCAGAACAAAGTATTTCAGAACAAAAAAGTCAGAACAAGAAAGAATTTCATTTATCTATAAATAAATGAAGTTTTATAAGTTTTTTTCTTATATTTTTGATTCAATTAAGAAAGGCCATAAATATTTGATGTTTTAAGTATAATATATATTGTTCCAACATTTTTTTATTATTATTATTATTTTTTGTTAATATTTTGAGTCCTGCAGATTAAATATTTTAAATATATTAAATAAGTTTAATCATAAAATATTTGAAAATTATTTTGAAACTGATAATTTTTTTAATTACAGCAAGTTGTTTTAAAAAATAGGCAGCTGAAAGAGATTATGGACAGTCTAAGGAGTTTAATTTGGGATATCAATACAATGTTAACTATGAGAAAATTATGATTTTAATAATTATAATGATAGATATTAAGTTTTGTTTTTTGCTTTGAAAGAAACACTATGTTTTATAAAATATACAGTTAATATAAATTTTTTGTACATTTTTCTTTAATATGATTTATATCATATTAACAATTTACTTTTTGAAAGTTAATATATCATTTTCTGTTAAACTTGAATTCTTGACAAAATATATATACACAGGATTATCAATTCTGTGTATATGTAATCAAATTTTTCATGCTTTGTTTTTAAATTGTTATGAAAAGATCAAGATATAAAGATTTTCTTTAAATTTCATCTTTGAATCAGTATAAAAATTTTGTAAATTACATTAGAAAAAAGATGTATAAAAAATATTGTCACATTTGTGTTTGACATTCTAAAAATCTTTGTAGAATATCATAATGTATACATTACCAAAGTAAATAAAATAAAATAAAAATTTATTGATTTATAATTTTGTATGTTTGTGATAACAATATACCACACATTCCTATGTTCAATCAATTTAAATTTGTAAGGTTTGCCGACGTTGAGGGGGAAAAAGTCTATCTCACGTCAGAATGAGCCTAAGGGAAACCGCGTATGTAGGCGGTGGCGAAGGAGGCAAATGATGTACAAGTGTTTTACAAGATAAAACCCGTTTATTTGTTCGAATTCATGCTTACATCGATAATGGACAATTCCAAAATCTCCTGGGAACGGCGAAAGTTCGTGATCTCGGTTGCAGTTCGGGCAGACGAGAAGGATATCCGGATGAAGAAGGAGTTTGTTGTTTCGTTGCGGTGTCCTCGGTGAGCGGCGGATGCACAGCACAAATTTAATCACCACTGTAGGGTTAATCCGGAGGAGACTCTTCTTCAACCTTGAAGTTCCGATTTTTATAGTTTTTCCCCCACNTGAGAAAATTATGATTTTAATAATTATAATGATAGATATTAAGTTTTGTTTTTTGCTTTGAAAGAAACACTATGTTTTATAAAATATACAGTTAATATAAATTTTTTGTACATTTTTCTTTAATATGATTTATATCATATTAACAATTTACTTTTTGAAAGTTAATATATCATTTTCTGTTAAACTTGAATTCTTGACAAAATATATATACACAGGATTATCAATTCTGTGTATATGTAATCAAATTTTTCATGCTTTGTTTTTAAATTGTTATGAAAAGATCAAGATATAAAGATTTTCTTTAAATTTCATCTTTGAATCAGTATAAAAATTTTGTAAATTACATTAGAAAAAAGATGTATAAAAATATTGTCACATTTGTGTTTGACATTCTAAAAATCTTTGTAGAATATCATAATGTATACATTACCAAAGTAAATAAAATAAAATAAAAATTTATTGATTTATAATTTTGTATGTTTGTGATAACAATATACCACACATTCCTATGTTCAATCAATTTAAATTTGTAAGGTTTGCCGACGTTGAGGGGGAAAAAGTCTATCTCACGTCAGAATGAGCCTAAGGGAAACCGCGTATGTAGGCGGTGGCGAAGGAGGCAAATGATGTACAAGTGTTTTACAAGATAAAACCCGTTTATTTGTTCGAATTCATGCTTACATCGATAATGGACAATTCCAAAATCTCCTGGGAACGGCGAAAGTTCGTGATCTCGGTTGCAGTTCGGGCAGACGAGAAGGATATCCGGATGAAGAAGGAGTTTGTTGTTTCGTTGCGGTGTCCTCGGTGAGCGGCGGATGCACAGCACAAATTTAATCACCACTGTAGGGTTAATCCGGAGGAGACTCTTCTTCAACCTTGAAGTTCCGATTTTTATAGTTTTTCCCCCACTGTTCGCCTTTCGGATTGGTCCCTCGTCCCTTTTCTCGCTTCCCGATTGGTTTCTCCTTTGTCTCCAGGTGCAAGACGAAACTTTTTCGGGTCGCGGGAAAGGTCCGATTCGAGGTGTCCATCTGATACCTCTTTGTCGACTCTGTTCGAGGACTGTTTATAAAATAATAACACCTGCACTCATAACTCAGGCCGTTATTTACCATTTTTGACGTCTAAGAATTTAACGATCATTTTCACCTTTCACCTATCAAAAATTCCTCTATTTTTTTGTTCGAAAAGGTTTATTTCGGCCAACATTTTATAGACACGCGAGTCAAAGATCTACCTGTTTATGAGCGCTCGGGTTAGAGTTTGTCTTCCGCTAAGACATTAACAGATAGTTGACACATACTCGAACCGTTCTGAGTCTCGTTGTTTACATCTCGTGTCGCGCAAGAATTTCACGGTTTACTCGAGTTCAAACCTCGTCTGGGAACCCACAAATTTCATATTTTATATCAGAATTTCAACCTGGCTGCTGGCAACCCCAAAGGATCATGGATTTATTTGGATGGGTTAATAAGTTACTTGGGTAATTTGGGAGCTGATAAAAAAATTAATTTTTATTTTACCCTAATACATCTATCCATCTTTTTCTGTGCTGGATACATTCCAAAGAACCCTGTGTTAAACAAAAATTACATAAAAAAAGTACAGTTCATACATCCTGAAGAAAAATGCTTGATAGGATCCACAACTTCAATGGAATGAAAAAATAAGCAATTTACAAAAGAAACATGAGTTTTTTTTATTGGGCTGTAATTTGAAAAAATTGTAGACCTATAAATTCCAACTGTCCATCTGTCTGTTCTTCTCTAATCTTGAGAATGATGTTAGATAGATGAAAGTTGAGATCAGATATGGAAAGCTTAGGGGCAGGAGGTCCTGATTACTATATACAAACTTCCAGTCTAGACCAGAAGTCATGTGATTTAAATTCAAAAATTTCCCCCAGAACAGAGTTACATAGATGACTGGCATGACTGTTTTTATCAGAAAAAGTATTATATTCAGGTGCTAATTTGAGGTGGAGAACATATAATTTAAATTAAAAAATTTTTAAATATGATTAAAAATTGCAGCCTGCATTGTGACTATGTCACAATAAATAATTGTTCATTATGTTTTGATTTATCTAATTAATTTATTTCTTAATTCCCCAAAGAACAAAGATAAAAATTTCAACTGTTAAATGAATAGTTCAGTTTTGGAAATATAATAATTTATCAACAACATTAAGTATAGTATATAATTAAGTTATCAGGTATTTTAATTAGTCATTTACTAATTGATTTTGAATTTAAATGCTATCATATTGTTTTAAATGCATTTCTTTTAATCATTAATGCACAATTTGAAAATATTAAAAATTGCAACTAAATTTATTTTTAATTTTAAATACACTCATGTTTGTAAAAATTGCAACACCATGAAGGCAAATAAACTGAAACTTACAGGAAATGAAAAGCAGGGTATGACATGCTAATGATTAGAATATCAGAGTGATAGCACATGAGTGGGCTGAGAAGTTCCCTCTGAACCGGTTGTGTTAGCTGTATAAATAAAGAGCAGTAGAGGAAAGTTGGAAGTAGTGTATCATTGTCTGCTACTGGTAAATGTTTCATGAGAAGTCATTATGCCTCATTGATGACAAAGGGATGAGTAGGTTACGAAGTTACAGATGACAAAGGGATGAGCAGGTTATAAAGTTTGAATGGGGGTGAATGATTGATCTGCATGAAGGGGAATTTCCTTATTGCAAAATTGCAGCTTGGGTGGGGCATAATGCCACAACAATGTTGAGAGTGTGGAAGCAGTGGGTTGAAGAGTACCAGATGAGTCACAAGTTTGGCAGTGGATGATGAAATGTTATGTCAGCACTGGATGACAGACACCTCATCTGCGTGACGATTGCAGATTGTACAGCTTCATCTCAACAGTTGGCACAACATTGGAGCATTGTCTGCATCCACAGTTTGTCAATGTCTGCTGTGCCATGAATTGCATGCAAGCATTTCTTTGTGCAAGATTCCCCTGATGCAAAATCATTGACACCTGCAGCTACAATGGGCTCATCAACACAAACACTGGCGTTCCTCAGGTAGACATTCAACTTGATTTGATGCCATGTTATGTAGAAGCTCTTATTGCAGTGGTGTACTGTAATAGAAGCACATGCATTATAAAGTTTGGGTCTTTGATGTATTTCTTCAGCAACTTCTTGAATTTGATTAATTAATTAATCAAATTCAAGAAGCTTCTGAATTATAATAGAATACACATATTCCTTTATTTTATTTTTCTATGCTAACTAGACTTGAAACTGTGAATGGTCTGAAATAAAGATTTTTCTTTGTAACATTTTCTTTGAGAATTGGACAGTGATGTATTAACATCTACCATAAATTGATCACTCCATAAAATTTTATCCACTACTTTTGAATCACCTTGTATGTTATCAATGTTTTCTGGTATTTTTTACACATTTTAATATATAAAAATTATTTAAATAAAATCCAAAGTTTATTTAATTTCCAGTCTAAATTGAATAAAATTGGCAATTATTAATCGCCAATTTATTAAATTTAAATTAGTAAAACCTAATCAATTTAATAAATTGATTGCACTTTACTAATTGTAACTAGTGGATTTAATGGTTTTTGTCAATTAAAACCTGTACTTTTATTTGAAAGCAAGTGTTTAAATAAAAGAAAAATTCAATTATAATTCTAAAGTAAAGATAAAAAATGCATTGACGTATAATATTTGAAGACCTTGAGGCAAGAACACGTTAATTCATTTTTTTCAAGTTTCTGAGAAAATCATTCTAAAGTTATGAATTTATTCAGTACTTTAGAATGATTTTCTCAGAAATTTTGATCAGATTGATTTTGAGTTCTGAATTTATTCAGTATTTTAGGACAGTCAAATGATATTGGAGGTTGTAGGCTAGTCTGTGAGAAGTTATGGGTCATGCATGAGTTTGGAAATTATATCTGCTCTATGTTTTAACAATCTCCAATAAAAAAAAAACTGAGTTAACATGTTTCTTGCCCCATGGTCTTCATTATTAAACAGAAAGAGGCACATATGTTTGTAAATGGAAATCATTTAAAAAATCAAAAAATTTCAGAGATGATTTAAAAATAAATCACTTAAGTAGCTTTATTTCTAAATTATCTGCGAATATTTTGGTGATTATGATTTGTATTTGTCAATTTATGCATGTGAAAACTTGATAATTTACTGAAGCA